ATCTCAGAGCATGAGCTGCACTGAATATACTCAGAAATGCAAGGGAAGGTTACACCAGCTTCTACAGCTGAGGAGCAGCACCTAGAAGTTTTCTCCCAGGCATTTTGTCCTCATAGAAAATGGTATTTGTGGGGCTACCACATCCCAGTTCATGCTTCTTGTTTCTTGTAAACAGTTATGTGACTGCTGCTGGATCAGGCACTAAAAATCACCCGTCCTGCACTGCCTGCCCTGGAGAAACTGACACAGCCAACGTTTCTTTAAAAGCTCACTTCAGAGTTTTATGTTTCTGAGAAAAGACACTATTCTTAGCTACAGACACGTGGAAGAATGTGGGGAAAAGAGATTCCAGATGCACTGGCCACGAGGGCCCTCTCCATGAGTAATGCAAGGAGGAGCGAAGCGGATCAGCTGTGTGAATGCCGCTCCTTGCCCCGAGAGCAATTGTCTTGTCCTCACAAGTCCCCCAAAGGCAGAGAGCGAATGCTCGCAGGCTCCTGGCCGCCTCCCCTGTAAAAACCTGTGCAGTCCTTCTGTGAAGGCTGTAGGGCATCACAGCAAGCAGATCTCCATTGCACTGATCCATGCAAGGGCCGGGGCTGTTAGTGCTGGGCATCACTAGAAATGGAGCACTTAGAAATGGAAGGGGCCAAGGATGTCACCTCCTGCCAAGGCAAGGTTGTTTCTGTCCGCTCTACAGCAGCTTGTTTAGATTGACAGGTGATGGAATGTGTGTCAGAACAGGCGGCTTTTAAACCTTCCTTACGGTTTGCTTCTCTGCACAGCTGTCATGCTGCTGCTTTAATTACCCAGCAATAGCAGTGCTTGACCACTGGTATTTTGAGATCATGTTTGTGGCCAGAAAAATAGTTTATGATTGCTTTAGAGAAAGTTCTGCTAGTAATTTAGTAGATTGAAAAAATAATGTTCTGCCTTACATAGTAACATACTGGTTTGACACATGACAGTATGAATATGCTTTCCTCAGTGCAAACAGTAACTTAGGTCTTTCCAAGACAGAGGGCCACAAAACTTGATTTATATTCTTCCCGTTGCCACTGATAAGTCAGAAAAACTGCAGCCCTGACCCTGCAGTTTGTCATGGACAGAAAGAAGGATCTGCATGTGCCGTTAATTGCTGGTTGCTCAGCACGTGCAGTATTAATGAGGCTTCTGGTTCAGACTGAGCTATGACAAAGCACGTAATCCTATGCTTAAATCTGCCCCTAGTTGCTGGGTAAGTATTTCTGGAGAGTGTGATGCTGGCGGCTGCATATCTTGCTCAGTAGATGATGATGCTCTTGTTCTTCCTTTAACTCTCAGTCAAGTGTAAACAGATTAGTTTCCATAAGAGCAAATGAGGTAAGGTCAAACGAATTCTGCCGTTTTTGTAGAAGGATGCATGTTCGGTCAATAATCATGTTTTATTGCCATTCATATTTCATCCACAATTTGCGTTTTAGAAGTAGATATTGTCCAGCTATAACTGGACATGAAAATCCAAGAATGCATCAAGCATGCTCTTTTATTCTTCTCCAGTGAAGCTGCTTTGCTACACGTGCCAAAGGTAATTGTAGAGCCCATTAAAGATGGAATTTATTACTTGCTGGTGACATCTTATGAACTTCAGTCTCAACACATGGCTGCTGGATGAAGTAGCCGTGTTTGGTTTATGTCTCACTTACTAAAACAGTTACTTGAAAGGGAGGGATTTTGTTTATCTAGAAAAAGCCCACCCTTAATTGTCCTGGAGGATGTCAGCGCTGTCCTCTGGCCATGCCCTGCCGCATCTGTTCAAAGATCCCTGCAAGTGTGTATCTTTACTGTCAAAGGTGTGGGAGGTGTTCAAGGAGTTCTCCAGTCCCTTAAGTGGTTTTGAAAACACTCTCCTCCCCTTGTCAAATACAATATAGTGTTATTAAACTCTGGGCCTCAGAAATAACAAGGGGGTTGCTGGTTATCCTGAGGAACTACGAGTTGTGTGGGACGGATGCATCTTTGTGTGCAGATGCATGAGAGGGTAGAAGATGGTCTTCCCTCAGTCTTGGACATACCAGCATGCAGCACGTGACTGGTCACTGATGTAACTGCTCATTTTCTTGCAACAGTGCTAATAGAAAGGGTTATTCAGTAGAACTCACTTCTCTCCTGTGTCTACCGTAGGGCGTGTTGGAGAGCTTTCTGGGCACAGCAGTCACCGGTGCGATATTTTGCCTTTTTGCTGGTCAGCCACTCACAATTTTGAGCAGCACAGGACCTGTCCTTGTCTTTGAACGGCTTCTCTTTAATTTCAGCAAGTAAGTACAAGGGCGGAGGAGGGAGGAGGGGAGGAATGTCTCACACTAATGAAATACTAGCTAGGGAATGAGATGGCTAGCAGTGGGGAAGGAGGGGATTTAGTGCATGAAATGAAACATCTTTGTTCCTTGTTGAGATTGCAGTGCAATCACATCACGGATTTTCACAGGCACGCGTGTCCCAGGGCGCTGCCCGGTGTCTGGGTGCGTATCTCCTTGGGGCCTCTTGGAAATTCTTGGCCAAGTCTGTCCTCGGTGAGAAGTTTGCACTAGTTACAGTCAGTGTGCTGTTCCTCCCCAGCTGCTGCATGCGTTTCCCTGGCTGCTCTGTATTTCCTGCAGGAGCAAAGAAAGGAATCCAGCTTCGGTGATTTCACTAACAAAATCCCGCAGGTCTCAATGTTACCAAAGATCTGTCCTTAAATCAGCTCTCATTTGAAATAATCGCTACTGCTTATAAAAGCAAAAGTATCTATGACAGAAACAGATGTCGATGTCTGTTTGTCCCCAGAAATCCTCAGTGGAGCTTTGCTTCATTAAATGCTCTTGGGTGTTTTTTTCCTTTTAACTGATATGAAGAGGTTCTGCTCCCTCCCCACCATGCTGATGTTGATGCAGTGAGGGCAGCTGACACCCAGAGCTAAAGGGAGCCCATTTTGTTAGGTGTTCTTATTTACTATTCCCACATCTGCAATGCTGGAAAAATACAATGAGAATCCGTAAAGGAATCGGCATATTCATTGATGATTTTGCACGTAGGACTGCTGATACTTTGGCTGGTGTTTTGCAGAGAGATCATTTTAGACCCCAAATCACTTGTAGCCCTCCCTTCCCCCATCAGGGAGTGTTCACAACATTCCTAGTTGTGAAAGCCTTGGGTTTCAGTACACAAAACTGAGAGCTTTTGGAGTTAAGGCATTACTGGGCTTCCTTTCAAAAGCAGTCGCCTGTGATGTGGAACAGCTCTTTGGCCGTTGGTGTTTATTTTTAGAAAAGGTCTATTGAATTATTAAGCTGAACATGACTGCAGGTTGCAATAAGGCAGGAGGCATGGTATATGTTTGGTTGCTTAATTGTATCTCCTTCCTCATTGTATTTAATTGCTGTGGGTAGTTACTCAGAAATAATTGAGAGCATGTAATAATGTCTTTCCTGTGAATACCCTACATTTTGGAGAAGTCTTTTGGGGCACAGAGCTTCTGCTAAAGCAGACAGACAGTGTATTTACCTGTGATCCCATGTACACAGTGCCACACTGGACTCATTTGGAGTGAGATGATTTCATTTGGTTACTTAACTCACTTGATAATACTTGTGACAGTGTGAACCGTGTCTGTGAAAATAGTGCAGGGCAGTATGAAATGGGCAGCTCTGATTCTCCTGCTGTGTTGTTGAAGTTGGTGTTATTTTTATAATCAGTGCTGTTGGGTTTGAAGCCTAAATGACCTTGCAGTGCGCTGTGACTGCTGTTAGACAGAGCCATATTCATCCCAAGCCAGGGAAAAGTTCATCCTGGAGTCAAGCATGCCATGGAGAGATGACCTGCACCCTTCAAATGCAGTGCAGTCTTCCTCTGCCTGGCCCTGGGGTTGCTGGTCTCCTCAGGACGGTCTGCTTGGTCCTGCCAAAGAGGGGCAGAGGAGGTGGTCTTGGAGCCTTTTTCCCCCCACTGGAGCACAGGCAGGGAGGGATGGAGACTAGAAAACATGGACAGCAAATTAGACTAGTCCGGGGAGGGAAGCTGGAAGGTACGACTGGTGAGAGCTCTGCCCGCAGATGAAGGAAGGGGGGCACCTTTCTTTTCTTTCTTCAACTAGGATAAATGAATAAAATCAGGAACAGACATGCTATAGCTGTTTGCATCTGGTGGGCAGGTCAAAGCCCAGGTGCAGCACGTGGAAGGAAAAAAAGCAAGATGGAAAAACACTTTGTGTGGTTTTGGGAGGGAGAAGGTGGTTATTTTTAACCCAAGGAGGAGGTGGTGCGTATAAAAGCTGTTGTCCTAACAACCTGTTGGAGCAGAATGGCAGGGATTTTCAAGGGAGTCTTTCTCACAAGGAAATTGGAATCAAGTACTGTGATTTTTCAATAATGTATTTGTGCTTGTTCATATTTGCAACACCCTGTTCCCTGCTGGGAACAAAATTAGAAAGACTTCCCATCTACTGATTCATTTAAAGTTTGACTCTGTGTATGTGTGTATGGAGAGATATCTAAAAAAGCCTCACGTGCCCAGCCATGCACCTAGCTTTGGGTGCCTGCAGGAGTGGCATTTGCCGCATTGCCAGCAGAGTGGGTCGATGCTACAGGACACTCAGCATCAATTTACATCCTGGCTGGTGAGCTCTGCTCCTGTGCAGAGTCTCTCCAACGCCCATAGTGAAATGAGTCAGGATTTCCGAGCTGGAAGCAGCGGGGAGCGAGGCACTAGGCTCCTGAGGAAAGCAGGACCCCAGTCCTTTTGCCTTCCATCAGCAAAAGCGGGCTGTTGGGAAAGTTTCCTCTTCAGAGACCTCAGAAAGAAAATCAATCACGGCAAAAGTACTTTGCCTGTTGTATTGTGTGTGTGAAATGTCCTGTGCTTTTTCATTTGCTCTGTGAGCTTCAGAAGTTCTGCAGGACTTTGAGGGGTAAAAAAAAAAAAAAGAAAAAAAATGTTTAAAACCTTTATTCTTCAGTGGTGTGCAGTCAGGATGCTATCTGGGTTCTGCCAGCCATCTTCTCCACTCTCAGTTAGGTGGATGGCAGCCCCTGCTCTCTGAGACACTGACTCCAGATACTTCAGAGCTGTCACTTGGGTCTTTTAGTATTTTTTTTCCCCCTTCTCTTTTTCTAAATCATCACTTGGTTTCTTCCTTGCTCCTTAGCCCTCTTCCAGGTCAGAGTCTCAGTGTGAGAAGGCTGCAGCCCTCCCTGAGGTGTTTGTCCACAATAAGGAGAAAGGCTTGCAGGGTTTTGGTTTGAATGCAGATGCCTGACCCTGTCTGAGCCTACCTGACATCCGACCCAGGATCCTTACCGAAATACATGACACTTCCCGGCAGCAAGCCTTTAACTGGCACTCTGCCTGGTCTGTGCCTTTCCTCCCATTTTGCAATTGCAAGGTTGTAGTTCCCCCTGTTGAGGTCCTGTTTTGTTCTTTAGTCTGCAGTTTTATACCATGCACTAGGAAATTGCGCTGGAGCCCCACTGTTGGCAGGGTAGGTGCTTGGGGAGCACCATGCAGAATTGCTGTGAAGTTTGCTGCCTGTAGGTAAATGCTGGCAAAGGGTAGAGGTGTGTAACAGCACACCATGTCTACCTGGAAATAGTGTGTAAAAATATGCATATAGGAGATGCAAGGACGTTTTTCTCTATTGCTGTGCAAGGTTTGAGGGATTCTATCTGCAGTGAGGACTTGAGTAAATGGTGGGACCAGCCTATAGCCAGCTCTGAAGGCACCTGGTTTTGCCTGGGTGCAAGCACCCTACCAAGTGTTTTGCTGCTGAGCTAAAACTGCCTCTGGTACTAGGAGGTAAGCCCCTTCTGAGGCACGCATGGTTCTGTGGAGGAGCCGATACTGACCTACACCTGTCCTCTCACCGCAAGCAGGCCTGGAGGGATTGTGCTGCCAGCCCCACCGCCTCCTGCTCCATTCCCCAGAGCAGGCGGTAACCTCCTTGGCAGGGCCTTATCTGCTCTGGTGTTCGCTTTTCATGTTTGTTCAGTCCTAAAAGCCTGCCTTTGGACTCAGCACCATCAGGGCATGGCAGCCTTGAGCAGCAATCAAGGGGCAAACAAAATTCCCAGGAGGGAATGATGCGGTTCGCTCCATCGTTCCCCACAGCCTGCCGTGTCCTGGCACCAGGGTTTGTTGTCTTCTGCGTTGTACTGCTGGATCTTCTCCTACTGATAATTTGATTTCTGCTGATAGTGCAAGGGCCTGAGAGATGGAAATGCAGGCTCCTGAGTGTGAGGCTTGGCAGGAGATTGCTTTTCTGAAGGAGATTTGTGAATTGTGGTTATGTCTTCAGCTGGTGGAAAGCTGTTGGCATTGAGCTGCTCTTGGTCTGGACAGCTGGATGCTTAGGCCTTTACAACTCTGTGCATGTTTGCCCAGGGAGGATTTTTACTGGGAAGCCTAGAAAGAGCTTGAATTCACTGGTAACATTCATTAGTGGAGGTGTAAGCAAGACTGATCATTTCTGCATGCTTTTCTGCCACCTGGGCTATTAAACTGCACCACATACATTTATGGAGTTGGCTGGCTGAAAATGGAGAGCTTAGCTCTTGGGAATGCTCTCACTGAGTCTAAATGAGCACAGGTCCCAGAGGCTGTGCGTTCACTTCTTCTCATTGGGAAGTCACAATCCTGCGTGCATTTATCTAACCTCGATATTTTCCCTTCCTGCCACCCCTGTCTTGTTGCAGAGACAATGGTTTTGACTACCTGGAGTTTCGTCTTTGGATCGGCCTTTGGTCAGCCTTCCAGTGTCTCATTCTCGTTGCTACTGATGCCAGCTTCCTGGTCAAGTACTTCACTCGCTTCACTGAAGAAGGTTTTTCCTCCCTTATCAGTTTCATCTTCATTTATGATGCTTTCAAGAAGATGATCAAGCTAGCAGATCATTACCCGATCAACTCCAAGTTCAGGGTGGACTACATCACGCATTACTCTTGTGCCTGTGAACAATTAGATCCAGGTAAGAGAATGTTTAATTAGCTCTCCAATTTGCACATAGGAGATTGCATTTGCTATCTTTTCCTATTGTGCTGCAGTCCAGATAATAAACAGGTAGATTAATCCCTCTCTTATCAGTTGTCTTCAGATATCCTATCTTAGCCTTGTTTTGAAACTGAAGGCTGAGTTTCACCCTGCATGCCAACTGGAATATCTTTATAACTGACCTTCCTGGACTCCTCTTGTGAGCATCCTTACCAGTGGAGATGCTGTCTCTGTAGCCTTGTCTCCTTGCACCCTTGCGGCTGTTAATGCTGAATGGCATTCCTCTGAGAAGTCTGTGAAGGGGCAGAAGTGGTGGCCAGGTCTCTGCTGTGGTGCTGAGGTCACTCCTGGTTTACGCTGAGCCATTTTGTTGAGCGCAGGAGTTGGGTTTATTCAGGGCGTTACCCAAACATGGGTGGTTTTCCACCTCCTGGCTATGGGTATGAGTGGAAAAGCACAAACAGTTCCTCGCTGGAGCGGAAGGGAAGTATATCCCACAGTGCAGCCTATCACCAGAGCGTGGGCTGCAAGGCAGGTAGAGCCAGCGTACGTATAAATCTGGCAACACAACCAGGAACAAAAGGTTACAAAACCCAAATACAAACAGAAGTACGCTGGCTCATACCGTTAGGGAAGCTGTGACCCTCATTTCAAACAGTGAGGAGTGAGTAAGAAACTTGGTTTATGCTCAGAGGAAACTTCAGGTTATCTCGACATACCTGTCAAACAAGAAAAGTCTCTGGTTACTGATAGCTGCCTCTGGTCAAAAGGTGTTGGGAATTGGATCCCTGGGAGCTGTGTGCTTACATTAGTTGTTCAGTGTAGGATCTCTGCAAGCACTTGGTCTAGTTGGTCTAGTTCTGCTTCCATTTGAATGGCAAGCTGGGTTTTTTTGATGTTAGGATGAAGGGGAATGGTCAATGCCAAACTGAAGGTCTCCACTTCCCATCTAAACACCTGTGGCACAGACCCAGTGCCCAAGGCAAACATGGTGGTACAGCTGGAATGTGTAGAGGAAATGGAGCATGTGGCAGAAGCCCACACACTATTTCATAAGAGATTTGTGCCTGGAAATACAATGCTGGTCTTTACCTTTGTAAGCAAGTGGGGGAAGGATCAGCATGTGTGGTCTGATAAAGTTCACAAACCCTCACCGCCATGGTTGTCTTTTCATCTGGTTGCTGTCTTCGCCAGATGTTTGTTTCAGAGGGTAAAGATGACCTTACTGTCATCATCTCCAAATGCTCTGCCTTAGTTTTTCAAGTAGCATTGAATAGGAGGAGTGACCAGATAGTACGGGAGGTGCTGACAGCAATCTGTCCAGGTAGCCCTCTGGGACTTGGCTCCTGCCACACCAAGCTCTCCTGCACAGATCTGCCTGAGTCTGTGGTACCTTGGACATGAAGGCCGACACTTCAGAAGCTGTTGAAGTGAGGGAGAAGATTGGAAATGGCAAACTGTCTGGAAATGGAGTACCTAGCAGAGTGATCTCATATTTAAACTCAGTCCAAGAGAAGCTCAAAAAACAATTTGAGGCTTCTGTGTGTAAAGCAGCAAGTGCTGGGGATGCAGTATTGGTAGAAGAACTGGCACCAGCTGAGTCCTTTGACTGTTCTCATGCCTTGCTTGGTGGCATCTCCTTCCACAGTGGATTCAGTGCACACGAGCAAGGAATTTTCCAGAGGAACAAATGGCGTGTTAAATAGCTGCTAGCCTGTCAGTCATGACACTGACAGTTTGGCCTTTCACAGGTCTGAAATACGTGGATACACGCATATGTCTGTATAGCTGTGTCTCTGCATAAACCCAGACAGCATCCATAAGTGAAAGACAACCCAGATTTAATTCCTGCTCCTTAAATAAACAGATTTCCACATCAGCTTCTCATCACAGCTACAGAGGAGGTTTCCTCTCTTACCACACAACAGTAAGTCAGCAGCAAAGTAGCGAGCAGCAGCCAGCACAGTGTCTAAGCCAAACGCTTTCGGAAACGGGCTCTGCAACCTTCCTAGGTTTGCTCGTTTTTAAAGATAGTGCCTCACTCTGTGCACATGCTTATAGCTATGCAATGGGAGTCAGTCTGTAACATTTTGCTCACTAAACATAAGTGGCCTTATTCTTCATGTCCTGCATTTTTTTAAAGCCCCACAGAAGATGGCAAAGTCAAGGCAGAGTATCCTCGTTACATGTCTGGGGTATTTGCTAGCTGCTTAGCACGGTGTCAGTGACCAGCAGGGAAAGGGGGAATTGTGCCCTGGCAGCTGGGTGGGCTCTTCGTCCTTCGGCTTGGGTTGAACGCACCGAGGAGGATGGCACAGCATGAAATAAGCCAGGAGGTCTGAACTTCACCCAAAGCGAGCTGCGATCCCAGCGGTGGAGTGAATGTCTTTGAAACGAAGCTCAAGACTGTAAGGTCTTGCAGCAGCGGGTTTTGTAAGCAGATACCAAGAGAGCAGTAGGACATCAATTATCCTTGATGCTAACATTTCCTCTCTGAAAGTTTGGAAGCCTTCTGTCATGCATCAGGAAATGGAATAAAAATGCAAATGGCACATTAGCAAAAGGGGATGCCTGGTTCTAGGAAAAAAGCGTAATGCAGTAGCAGGTGCTTTCTTTCCAGTGATTTTCCTGTAGTGCAGATAATGTCTGCTGCTGTTGGGGTGTTGTAAGCAGTGATTGATAAGCTGTCAGGGGTTGTACTGGGGAGGGGGAGAGATTTATTTGGTTTTTTCCAGATTAAGTGCAGGTAAAGCTTTATTGATTTTTTTTTTTTTTTGTTACACCACAGGTGAAGCTAACTTCTCTTCCCTCACACTCTGATTCAGGCTTTTTAATGTTGGTTTTAATTTCTGTGTCATTAAGTTCAGCTCCAGAGTTTTTTGCATCAGCCCTTAGCTTGCCTTGCTTGGTTTCTGCACTGGGCTCTGCCCACACTCATACTCCCAGGGGCCTCAGAAAGCTGAGAGCAGTGTCTTGCCAGCCCCACCACGCTTTCTGCAGGACCTTATAATAATGCCTTTGAAATCCCCGACAGGATTTGTGTGTGCTCTGGCAATAGTTGCTTACTGTGTCCCTGCACTTGCAGTCTGTGTCCCTGAGCTAATGCACACCGTTTTATAACGTGGCTCAGGAAGTTAAAAGGCAAAACCAGCAGCCAGACCAGTGCTCCATCCACTTTCAGGAGCAGTAGCATCCATGTAGCAATTGTTTAGCCAAAAGCAAAGTGTCAGGGGAGTGTGCTTGAACGCCGAGGGGCCTTGACAGCCGCAGCGGAGCGGACTGGGGGTGTAGAAGATTACAACTTGCTCTCTGTTCCATGCAGTTTTTGGGTACTGACGTGACAGTGCAGAGACCCTTGTTGCACTGGCCACCTTCCATGTTTGTGGTCAGAGGGGACAAGCTGCTTTATCCAAAAAGCCTTTTACCTCATCTGTCAAGTCTACCAAGAGGGTTTGGACGTGGCTGAAGATGCTAAAAACAGAACATAAAGCGCTCTGAGACACGTTTACTCTCTTTTCTCAAACTTCACCTCTCAAGGAAAGGGTTGCATCATTTTACAGACTCAGCTGATTCCTGGCAGCATGGCTTGCAGCTCGGCACATTGTCCACGCTCGGGCATTGTCCTCAGGGTTGATGAGCAGGCTGCCCACTCGGGGTGCGCAGATGTTTCCATACCTGGCCTTTCCAGAGAGATCCCTGCCATCACGAGGAAGATGCTGGCAGCAAAATCTGCAATGACTCTCGAGGCACAGCAAAAATCCATGTCTTGACAAGAGTCTTACTTGTCAACGGCCCGGGAAAGACTGCCTACATATAAAGATGTCCTACTACTTATTTCAACCCTCGTATGATTTCAGTAGTATAAAAGACAAATGCACTTATTCTTTCTCCAGCTAAACAAATATGAGCTGTGCAATATTTAAATAATTATATAACAATAATACTAATAATAATCATAATTTAATAATAGTTTAATAATTTACATATTCTTATCAGACATAAAAGTACATGCAAAACCTCAAGGAAACATGAGGACGTTGTTGACAAGCCTGTTTTCAGGAAGGACTGCATTTCTAAATGAAATTTCAAATAAATGATTTCTAATCCCATGAAAACATAACAAAACATATCACTGTTGCAGTGAATGCTGTTACTTTTCTCAAATAAATTATCTCCATCCCATTGATTTAAATTACTCTTTATCTTTTTTTAGCTGAAATAATGTGTTTGTGCTGGATTCTGGAATGCATTTTGCTTTTCTGGATATCTTTGGGGCTGTGCATTAATTTTAAATTAGTAGTTAGGAGTGTGCTGTGGATATTTATTTTAATCCGGAAATTGTTAGAAAAATATTGCAAAACCATGAAATATCATGTTGTCTGTCTGTTTTTTCATGGTTTTCTTACAACGAACTCTGAAACAACCCCAGTTAGGTTAGAATTGTGTTTCACTTATCGTTTTCTTTCTGTTTTGTAAGCAATTGTTGATTGATGCTTTTGAGTCACTCTGAAACAATACTTTTGACTGGCTTGGCTTGAGAAAGAGATTGCAAACAGTTTGATGGAGTTAACAAATGATTTAATAGTTGAAATTTGCTTTCCTTCCTAGCTGTTTCCGCACCATGCTCAAGGTATTCCTTTTTCTGTCCTCTCTTGCAGTTAATAGCTCATTATTTAACAGGACAACAGTGCCGTCAGCCGATGGGCAGTTCTATTCCTCTGCTGAGATGGTAAGTGCCCTTTGCCAGGTCTTTCAAGTCTGTCAGTGCTGTGCGTTTCTACTGGGCCGTGCCAATAGATGAGGAACTGATCGCTTGAAGAAAACTCTCATGCTGACAGTCCCCTATTGCCCGTGACACTGAAAATGTGACACTGCTCCTTTTGGCGTCCTGCCTTGATCCTCCAAGGATTTCTTGTAGTACTGCATCCGGAATACTGTGTGCACACTTAGATAATGGTAATTACTTGCTAATGGCAGCCACCTTCTTGCGGTCGAGCTATGTGTGTTGGCAGGATGCAAATGGTTCTCCCGGGGGATTAGTCAGATTCTTGTGTCCAGGGCTGAAATGGTAGGAGTGTTATGGCCAGCCTTTCCTTTGGAAGGTGCTGTTTCCATCCCATTCTTTGATTTTGATGTAGCTAACCCTGGCTTTCCCACATTTCACTGTTGGTGAGCTTTGGATGATGAGGAGAAAGAAAGGGAGCTTGATGGGCTCAGATACCTTTATGTTTGATGCAGAGGAAATAAGTTGAGACATAACAACTTTCTGCTTAAGAATACAGGTCCTACCTGTCTGTATTTCTTTGTGGTGACCACTCTTCTGTGGCATCAAATGGCCCAGCAGAAAGGGAATGGTTTCTGAGCTGGGCGCGCTGTCTGCAGGCACTAGGAGCGTGAGACACAAATCTGAAGGCAAGAGCATTGCCCGAGGTCCCTGAGGGGATCAGTCGCAGGGTCAAGAAATAGTAGCAAGGTCTCCTGGTGGCCAGGCTGCACCTCATGTAGCCTTTGCTGCTCCTTGCCTTCTTCACTGCCCCACCTCCATCGGCTGGCTGCAGTCCCTGAGCATCTGAGTTGGCTACCTCTGGGAGGGCTGCAAATGAGGGCGTCTTCGTTCAGCTGCCCTCCACAGAACATAATGCTTGGGGAAGTGATGAGCAGCCCCCAGCTCCGGTACAATGCCAGCCGTCGGGATACCTACAGCCACCCGTCAGGAGAAGAGTGCCCATTGCCGTTTTGGTTTCGTTAACAAGACCAACTCTTCTCGGGGTCTGTGGGTTTAGTATTGGATTGTCAGTCTTGGGAGAAGGGAGGCATGCCTAAGAGGAAGGCCTGAACTGAGGCCTTGAGACATGAAAACAACCCAATGAGTTGCATTTGCAGGCTGTGCTTTCTTGGAACAGTCATCTTGGCATCTCAGCCCTCCTCCCCTAGAGCCCTGATTTGCAACACCCTTCCTGCAGTGCGGTGGGACTGTGGGGGACTCACATCAATCCTGACTCTGTCTTTCTGCCTGATTTTGAAAAGAGCCGATGGGCCGTGCTCTCCCCATAGGATGCTCTGACTTAGCCCTGGTCCCCACCAGGGGAGCCAGCCCCGGGTGCAGAGGTTAGCTCTGCTTCCAGGCCACTTTTTGGATGTCTTAGAGTTTCCAAGCAAAGCAAATGTCTGGGGACACATGACAAGGATTTTGGAATGGGAAGAGCAGCCCTGGTACAAATCCTGCCAGGCAGTTGGCAGGCGGACAAAGGAAGATCACACTGGGGAGTGTCCCAAAGAAGGGAGATGCCGCCTTCTTTCTGCTCTCTGATACCCCAAGTGGTAATCTTACCTATTGAACACTCTCCGGTGCTTATTTCTGTATATGTAGAATCGCAAAATGTAAAACACGCCCCCCAATATTTGGTTCTTAGTTTATCTCCCTGCTTTGAAAGCCATGTTCGCTCTCTACTCTGTTATCCTGAAATAGCAGTCAGAGCGGATCTGCAGCAATCCGACTGAAGAGGCACAAAGTGCTGCTGTTTGATGCTGTGGAGAGAGACAGTGCTGAGAGAGCAAATGTGGCAGCACCTTGTCAAACAACAGCACAGAGCTGGGGGGTTTGTTGTTGTTGTCTTTACCCCCGCTGCCATCAGTGTCAGCAAAATCACGCCTCAGTTCAGCTCTTGGGATTCACAACATTTGCTGAGGAAGCTGCAGTTTATTGCGTGCAGTTTCAGACCACAACTTTATAAGCATCCAGTTTGGAGGCATATGTGATGTATTTTTCAACGTACGCACATGAACAAGATACTAATTGGTGCAGCATGAGGCCATGAACCTTTTGCCTTCAGCAAGTATCTACCATATTTTGAAGATTTCTAGTACAAGTTAGGGGTTTTTTTTTCCTACTTGAAAATGTCACTTATATACAAAAGGATATTTTGTGCTTTACAGTTTTGCCTGAAGAACATCTTTTTTGTAGTAATTTGCATGTTGGTCTGAATTAGTCTGTGCCTACATTTGTGGTAAGTTCTCTGTAACTTAACTATTTGCAGTAAAATACTCTTTCCTCCCTATGGGTTTATTAATTTTTAGTTACTTTTAAATATTCTTTCTCTCTGATGTCCTGGTTCCCAGGACTATGGTTTCATTCATTGGGGTTTTCATGCAGAAAAGGAGGAGCGGAGTCAATGTGATTCTAAAACTCCCCAGACTAACAGAATTTTGTAGGTACCTGTAAGTTTTTCCTGGTGTTAGCATATACTCTCTGCATTCCCAGTGTCCCCTCAGACAGTGTGCTCTGTGCATACCTGGAATAGCCTCGCAAGCTCGCTGCTATGTGCATGTTTATATTCTTGGCCTCTGTTGCATTTGCATTTGTTCTGTCCTCGTCCCTGCGCTGCCGTGATTGTGAGTTATGCAGGTCAGGGAGAAGGAAAAGCCCCTTCCTTGGGCTCTGCTTCACCACAAGCACTAGGAAATAAACAATCATCTAACAAGTCCTATGTAGCTCTGGGTTCCACAATGAGAGTTTAAAACCAAATCGTGCCTCCCTGTCTGGCCATCGCAGCCAGTCATCATTAGTAACGAGGTATTCAAAAGAGAAAGGAAGCAATTAAAGGAAATTCAGATGCAGGTTCTTATTTGGCAAGGCTGCGGGGAAGAGACCCTCAGCTCTTGCTGAAATCAAGGGAAACCATTGTATTTGGGGGTGTTGCGTTCAGTCCCAGCAGGTGAGTGGGTGCTCTAGGACATCTCTGCAGCTATGGGCAGGTTTTACCAGCTCCGCAGAGTCCTGCTCTGCCACTGCGCTGCTTCGGTGCCCTGGGGAAGGCAGGCTGAGGCAGGCTGGGTCTGGGGGCTCTGCAGGGATGTAGCAGAGAGGGAAGCTGAACCTCAGCATTCTTCTGACTGCTTGTCTGTAAAATGGAGGGGAGTTTGGTAACCCCAGCTGTGTGTGGGAGCACAATTAACACTGAATATTTACAGCGTGAGATGGCTTTTCCTTTGCATGTCCAGCATTCTGCGGGCACTGATAAACTGATGGCTTCTACCAGATACACAGGAGGATCCCAGAGCTGAACTCTGTGTGCACCGCAAGACCAGATCAGCTCGTACAGCAGCGGGGCTGTCTCCTGTGCATGGTTACTCACCCTTCACCAGCATAGCACCCCATCCTTTAGTCCAGAGTGATTGGCACTGCGTGGTGGCATGGCTCAGAGCATGTCAGAAGGACGCCCAGTAGCTGCAGCGTGGTGTGGCGCTGTGTGTGCAGAAGCCTCCTGGTGCCAGTGGGCATTAGGCAAGCTAAAGCCTTGTTTCTAGAAAGGCCAAGGAAGGAGATGTTCTGCTGTGGAAACAGTGCTTGATCGGAGAGAAGCTGGTTTGAGTTTGGTGTTGCTTGCAGTGAACAAGCAGTGGGGAGTGGATGCAGAGCTGGTCTAAGGCCACTACAGCTTCTGCGTGAGGTTTCCAACATTGCATTTCCACTGGAGAAAATGCAGAGCATGTCTGGCAGACCACAGCAGAGCTCAAAAGATCTCTGTCTTCTTTCCAAGGCACAGTCTGTCCTCAGTTCCTGGGTAATATCATCCTCTGGGTTAAAATCCATTCTGTTTGCGCACAAGCACAGGGCTTTTTAGCCTCTGCTCCGTGTCTCCCTTTTCCTCCCCGTATTTTTCCTGATGCTCTGTCCCCGTTCCTGTACTAGCATGAGCAGTGTTTGCATGAGCACAGCTTTATGGAAGTGTTCTCTTTTTTTCTGCAGTACAACATCACCATTGACTGGTCATCTCTGACATCGAAGGAGTGCTTGAAATATGGAGGACAACTTGTGGGCAACAACTGTGAATATGTCCCTGACATCACTCTCATGTCTTTCATCCTCTTCTTTGGCACTTACACATGCTCCATGGCCCTGAAGAAATTCAAGACCAGTCGCTATTTTCCAACCACTGTAAGTACCTCCTTTCACCCTAGCAGTCTGTTTCTTTACTCTTTCACAGTGCAAAGATCAGCCTTCCTTTTGGTATAGTTGTCGCACACTCAGGGAGAAATGCTTTGCAGGAAAGCCAGGTCGCACTGGTTGGGAAACATGGTACTGGTGAACCAAGATATGCCTGGGATTGCTTAGCTTTCACTCTCTTAATGTTTCTGGAGGGCATGGGTAAGGCAACAGAAGAGCCAAAATGAGCCATAATCTGTCGTGGAGACGTGACAATGATTTTAAAGGTACTGATGACAACACTTCCAAGCTGAGATAAGCGATGATGCAGTTGATCAGCCTTAAGAGCTGGAGTCCTTCAGACATATATAGCCAGCTATTTTCAGTGTCAGATACACAACTTAATGTGATGTACTGACTCTGGGGTAGGGTGTGTGGCCGTTGTACAGAGATCAAATGACCAAAAGGGACTACTGATCCTTACATCAGAAGTCTCCCTGCTAATAGCCAGAAGGAGTGTTTGGGGAGGACAAAAGAAGCCCTTTGCTTTGCCACTGAGTAGAAGTGGGTAAGTGAGCTGTCCATATAGAACAGAGGAACAGAGACGCATCTTTGATGTTACCATGTAGTATTTGAAATACTCAGAAATCAGAGCAAAAATGTTGAACTCTGCTACAGTCTGTGTCTGGCCTACCTGTTACGGTAGGGACCTAAAGCAGAAATTCCCTTTCTTCTCTGAGGATCACATGCAAAATAAGGATGACCTGAAAAACCTCTGCATTGATTTAAGCAAGATCTTGCTCAGATTTACAGTCAGCTTGTATGCATCTCTCGGGTGCATCTGCTTGTTTGACTCCCCAGCTAAAGTTACCAAGCTACGCGTGCGAGCTGGCAGTTTCCATGTGTACCAAAGCCCCATTTCTCTCTGAGACCCGCCCTCCCATTTTCGGCATTCTGCCACATGGAGATTTATCCTGCATGGATGTTTACTGTTCTGCTGTGTTACAACTGAACCTCTATTATTTTTAATAAAAAGGAAACAAATTCCATTGAGGCTGGAATGCAGCTCAATTTATCTGTAACCATGTGAACCCAGGAAACCTGGAGGGAGCAACAGCTCTGAAGAGATCACGCAGTTACAGACAAGCACAGTGGGTCCTGTCCAGTTAAATTTCAGGGTCTGACCAGTGGCACCTTTAAGTTGTTGTATTCCAATGACTTCAAGAATGTTGTACTCTTAGGACATGTTGAGGATTTAGCTGAGAAGCCTAGTTTGTTTTCCTGTCTGTTTAGGTTGGTTTATTACTTGAACAGAAAACAATGTAATCTCTGCCAATCATACAGAACATCTCATCTGTTGTGGAAGTTTGGGTCTTCCCGTCTTCTGAAGGGAAGTTTGTGAGTGTTTCCATTGTCTGGTGTAAAATAACCATTTCTTCCCTTTCACATTTTTTGTTTTAATCTGCATTACAAAATCAGTCATATTAAAAGAATGGAATCTGGAGATAACACAGTATTTTTTGTTAAAGCCACATACCTTAGTAATCCTGTGATGACACGAGAAGCTTGACTCATGTCAAAAAAGCAGTCTCTGACCCTACATAGCAAAACATGAATATGTGGACCATAAAGAATCAGAGATCAGAAGGCAGACAAAAGGAGACAATATTTTGTATGTCTAAAAAAGTCACTATTTTTTTAGGTTTATTTGTAAATGTTCAATATCTGTTAATATTGGAAGCTGATCCTGAAAAGTCTCTAGACTCTGCTGCAACGGAACTAGGTCTCCGTACCAGTGGTTGTTGGCTGCTGTCAAATGTAACATCAGTGAGACTGCCTTGAAGAATTCACATGGCAGTTTCTTACAAAGCAGTTTTCTTTTTCCTTGGGCTAGTTTTCATGCCTCCTTTTAGGCTTAATTTTTTGGCTTTCAGACAATGCAATAAAGTACCAAGGCAGATTTAGGCAAATGGTACCCAGACATGGCAGTGCACACCTTTGTTCTACCAAAGAAGAAACGATGAGCTTGTATTGCCACCAAATGCAAGCCTGGAGTACCAGATAGAAACTAAAAAGTGGGTGAAATGGTGCTTCATAGTGCTAACTGCTGTTATATCAACTTCTGTTTCAGGCCCGGAAGCTCATCAGTGACTTTGCCATTATCTTATCCATTTTGATTTTCTGTGGAATAGATGCCCTGGTAGGTGTGGACACACCAAAACTAATTGTGCCAAGTGAATTCAAGGTACGTCGTTGTCAGCTTGTTTGGTGGCCTTTGGAAGAGGTTCCCTTTTCCACCCATCTGCCCTGTATAAAATGACTTGTCCTCAAAACAGGAAAGTGGTCAGCTATCTGGAAAGGACCATTTTACTCAGATGATATCCTTTTTACTAGCATCATTTTGGTTGGCCATTTTATCTCCTAAATCCTGCCTCCATACTTTGAACCTTTTGTTGCTGTTAATGGGAGGGATGAATTTTTCACAAACCTCAAGTGCCTCCCTGTAGCCCCATTGCTGGAAGTACAAGTGTGTTTAGGATGTCATCACTCCTATATTGCAGCTCTAATGCAAGCTTTCTTTTCCTTGCCCTTAAAAGCCAACCAGTCTCGAGAGGGGTTGGTTTATCCCACCTTTTGGAGGGAACCCATGGTGGGTGTACCTGGCAGCAGCCATCCCTGCACTGCTGGTGACTATCCTCATCTTCATGGACCAGCAAATCACAGCTGTCATCGTCAACAGGAAGGAGCACAAGCTCAAGGTGGGTGTGCTTTGTGTCTTGCATGTGTGTGGAGAGCTGCCTGGTGCTTTTTCTGTGCTAGAGATGGAGGAGGGCCCGTGGCAGTGTTGAATGTACATGCCACCTCAGAAACGTCATTGCTGGTATTTAACAACAATATTTATGTAGTTGACTAGCGTAGAGTTTTTGCCAGGAAAACTGCTGATTCGGTTGAAAATCCTCAGTGTTGCACAAACAGCATTTGCCTTCCTCCTGAAGCAAGAGCCCAGTGCTGGGCCGACTTGCAATGTCTCGTTCAGTGAGCACTTAGTAATTTTGATTGGCTTCACCATCGTGCGGCCTGAAGCATTCCCACATGAGAAGCTTTGGGATTGCTCCTCCCTTTTGCTTTCCAAACAGGTTCCGTGCCAGGAACAGCTGGATTTCACAAAACCAGCCAGCTACCGCTTCCTTTCTCGGGGAACGAAAGGACTTAGACTCATCACATCCTACCCACTGCTCATCTGGCAAAGACATGGCTAGAGCCAGAAGAAATTAGAGCAGCCCCCCTTTGAGAGGCAGAACTTTTGTTTAAAGCCCATTTTCACGTCAACATAAAGGCAAAACATTTCTTAAAATCTTTACAATATTTTGATCTTTCCTTGCAAGAGCTTCACTCTCCAACTGTAAACACTGGAGGACGGCAAAGGAAACTTCCAAGTATAGGCTAGTCAAAGCTTGCCTTGTAAAGAACACTGGTGGGAACAACATCTTAGCTGCCTTCGTAACCTTGCTGCCCCTGAAATTCTGTTCGTGGTGGTAGTACTGTCTACCTTAGTAGAGGGCTGGATGAAGTTAATTTCAGAATCTACTGGCCCTGGCCTCAGGAGGTGTCATTTGCCTTGGTAATTCTGCAAGACTTCTCCATTTGAAGAATTAGGAAAGGAAAGAGGATGCGTGTCTATCCACAAAGTTATACGCTTGTCCGCTTTACTCATCTGTCTGGTGCGCTCTGCTTTTTGAGCAGGAGGCAAGAAATCATTAAATTAAACGCAGTCAGAAGCTGGGGAGAAAAGTTGATGTCTGTCATTCTGGATGTTTGCTTGTGTAGGGTAAGCACATGCTGTCCGCTGTGTCCAGCAGATATGGTTATACATACTACAAAATTGTTCATTCCTTTAAAACAAGTCCCCAGGTCTGATGTTAAGGAACACCTAGGAAGGATAGGATGGTTTGCAGTGAGGGTGCTTCACCGATGTTCTTTCTGGCATTTTTTTGAACAAGGCATTCAGGAATATGATTGGGGCTAGCAGAAGAGTCTGATTGCTTGCTGCCTTACAGCTGGTGTGCAAAACTGCTGGGTTTTGGTAGTGCTGGTGCTTCCAAATGGCCATTCACCTCACAGACTCCAGTTCTTTGGAGAAACTAGTCCCAGACTGAAGTCCAGCTAACTCCAACCTCTCCACTAGCATCAAATGACTTTTAACATCTACTTTTCTTCCTACCACCTTCCTCCCTCAAAGACACAGGCCTATTCCCTGTCCTCTGCTGCTGTTTTTAAGGAGAGAAAGTTACTTTGTGATTGTTGTCAGCTTTTTTGCTGCACTTCTGTCATAGACTATAAGGGGATGCTTCATCAATCTGATGCATTGTCATGGAAAGGAAAACAAGGGTGGCCAGAGTGAGTCCACCAGGTCTTGCACAGGTCTGCAGAGTGCCCATTTTTGGGAGCTCAAGCTTGTAGTGAGGAGAGGCTGTGAGCTTGGAAGGGCCTCCTCTCTCAGGAGCTCTGCTTTGACCTGAGCTGAGACCTAATTTTAATTTGCACAACACTTCGTTATTGCATCCAAGCCCAAATCTCTCTCCCCTTATCACAATGAGCAAAGCTTCTCTGGATCTGACAAGCCTCTGTTACTGTGTTTATCATGTACTGTGTTTACCATTGCTGGTGGGTGTTCCCAGCCATCGGCAGAACAAGGTCTCTTTATGTCACAGCTGTGCCTGAATGGACACAGCATGTCGGTGTGGCTGTCGGCCACTCTGAAGAAGGCTTTGGGGCACCGGGGCAATCGCAGGACCCCACCTGTGGTGGGTATGGCCAGAGATGGCCCAAGTATGGTAGCTGTGTTGCTGTACAGTGTTATAAAATACAAGCAATAAGCTGAAGAGATTTGGGACATACCAAGGGCATAGCCACAGTTGGATGTTATTTAAAGAAGAGCTTTATATCTGCTGACTTATAACAGCCTAGGATGTAGTAATATTTTTAAAATAAACTTTCCAGACCAGCACTACGCAGTTTTTCGTGCCTGTAGGGTTATTCCTTTCCCTGCACGGTCAGTTCTATTGAAAAATATTAAATTCCTGTAAAAGAAGACTCTCCCTTCCTGCTAACAGGACACGTTTCAAGTGGTCTGACCCATGAGAGTAAAGACTCCCTCAAAACGTGGGTAATGCTGGATCATTATTTAGATATCTGCTTCAGCAGTTATATTGAGAGCTGTTGGAAATGTGAATAGAGTTTTTGCTTGAAACAGAGGAGGAAGTTTAAATTCATATGGTCACTGTGGACATTAGACAACAGATGTGTGATTGAAGACCATCCTGAGCCTGACCTGGAGGAGAAGGTCAGAGTAACAGGGAATGGGAAAGGTTTGTTGCGCACAGTGGTGGGAGCTGGCTGATGGTTTTACGGGGCTGGTTTAAAAAAAAACAGCCCTCAGAACATCGCTTTTTGCCACCTGGATCAGGGCAGATATATTCAGTACTGTGCCCAGATCTTCTGCGGGGGGAGACTAATCATTGACATGTCTCAGTTTTAGGTCTGTCTCCTGCACCTAACTAAGCAGACATGCCATTTTTGTAATCACTGAAAGAATATATTCACTGTTTTTCCCCCATGAAGAAGAGGCCCCTCATCTCTTCAGCTTACAGGCACTGAACATGGTTATGCTATCAGCACTGGGTATGCTTTTTTAGTAACAAGGTATAAACGCTCCAGCAAAGTACTGTTTAATATAAAATAATTATTTCCTGCTTCCTTTGTTATGGTTGTGAGCACGTGCTTTTGTTTAATTGGGGGTTCTCAAGTCCGATCCTGCTACTTTGCACCAAAAAATACCTCTGTACATGAAATCTACTGTAGGCTGAAAGAAGGATGGATTTTTTCCTGCTAGTGCCTTGCTAAAGTATTGGCAGGATGTCACTGAATGCCTGTCACAGTGCTGCTGGCCAGCCAAGGTAAGCAGCGCACATATGAGGAAAACAACGAGGACCATTCAAGACAAGCTGGGTTGCTTTCCCTCCTGGGTCACCAAGTAGGTCCAGATCATTTGTTCTTTCCAATAAAATCAAACTGAACAGGATTAAAAAAAGGTTAATCTTCTTTAAAATAGCAAACCTTAGAGATTTGTCTAGTGTTTTTCTGAAGATCTCTTTCTTTGGTGGCTCTTTTGTTTCTTCACTTCTCTTGGCCCTTGTGGCTGGTGGATTTTCCTGTGTTGGATCATTAAAGGATTTTAAAAGTAGGAGATCAGAGGTCTTTAAAAAGCAGTAAAGAATGAGGGCAGCTTTCCATAGGGTATGAGCCCATCAGCTGTTCTTGTTGCTTTCCCCAAGAGAGCCTAGAGTTGAGTGCCGAGGAAGATGCCTCCAGCACCAGACACGATCAGCAGGGCTCAGACCAGTTGTGAAGTCCCCACTGTGAGATCCCGCAGTTGCTTCCTATCCTAAATACAGGAGTTCAGATCTCACTCTGAGGCAGCAAATGGCAAAAGTTACATTTAGGTAGGCACCATATTTCTGTAAGATTGCTTTCAGGTAGGCTTCATTAAGTCATTACACTGACACTACACAGTTACTTACAACAGCTGCTTAAAATTAAAATTAGGCTTTGGGCTGGTTTTAAAGGGTGGTTTGAGTGTTTAAAGCTCTGTGCAGATCCAAGCTGTCACTTACACAGCCGCAAGATGACTTGGTGCACAAATGTACTGATCTTGGCCTTCCAGCACGTCAAAAGAAGTCCTGTGTGCTCATAGCAGAGCAGTAGGACAAATGGCTCACACCATCGCAAGCCACTCTCCTGCTTTACAGATGACCGTCCACCCACTCACCCTCTCCAAACAGTTGCTGCTGCAGCTGTCTCATGCTGTGAAAATGGGCCAGCAAGTTTTTGCACGTGCTGCAGGAGGCAGCAGCAGGGCGGGATGGTGCTGGGCATTGGATTTCTTGTCACTGTGTTACCTCATTAACAAAATGGGAATGCATCATTACAAAAATAGCACTTTATAATGGGGTTTCGTTTTTGGTTTTTAAGAGGCAATGCAGAGCTTTCAGAACAATATATAAACCCATTATAACTAAGATATGTGTGTGTATATATATATAAAAAAATACAGAGAGATATATATTGAGAGCTTGCTTATACTGTTTGCAAGATAAGAATGTGTATCTCGCCAAATGTTTTTTGGTGAAGGTGATGCTCTCTGATTGTCTTTAACTCATGGTCTGCTGTGTCAAGTACCTATGTAAAGAACTATTTGACTGATTGCAGGGCTTGGCTTGTACCAACTCAACCTCCAGGCACCATATAGCGTACACAAGGTGCTTGGTCTTTTGCCAGACTGCTTGTGCGTCTGCTGCTCTCCTATGCTTACTGCATGCTGCTGTTTTCAGAGCTTGTCAGAACTGTAGCTCCTACCTGTTTTCCCTGTGGCAGCAGGTAATTTGTCCTTTAAAGAGCAATATGTCCTACTCTGCTATTTCTTATGACAATTTCTGTAGGCCAAAAGATGCTGCTTGTTTGGTGTGCCTTTGCCCCTGGGCCAGAGCCCTGGCTGTTCTGTAGGTATTTAGAATAATTAAGCTGAAAGTTGTCTGTCTCCCTTCACAGAAAGGTGCTGGGTATCATCTGGATTTGTTCTGGGTGGCCATTCTGATGATCGTATGCTCCTTTATGGGTCTCCCCTGGTATGTTGCTGCTACCGTGATCTCCATTGCTCATATTGACAGCTTGAAGATGGAGACGGAAACTTCAGCCCCTGGAGAACAGCCCAAGTTTTTGGGAGTGAGGTATGTCAAGCCAGAAAGGCCTTAATTGCCTTGTTTGCCTGCTAAGATCTGTTTGTACTATAAATGGTCTTGCTTTGAGCAGGACACGTGGAGAGTTTCAGGGGGAATAGCTCTTAGATTTGCTGTAAATCTTCAGATCAGCTGTGCTTTCTTACAGCTTTTTTTGTCCACAGAGGATATATGCAGTTAGAAGTTTATCTGGCATAGCCCTTCTGCAAATACTCCTTCTTGAAAAGGAAGAAAACTGTTGTACTACATGTGTGCCTGTAGATAGGGGAGAGCCTGTGCAAATGTGTGGGACCGAAAAGAGGAGAGGAAGGAAACTTCACACTGGAGCTTAGACCATTGCTTGGTCTGCTTTGGGCAAGCATGTTGAGGTCACCCCAAAATACACAAAGCTTTTCAGAACAAGCTCTGGTGCCCATGGAGCATTGCAAAGTTGTCACAAAGAATTTCGTGCTACTTTCTTCGTAATTCCAAACCTGGCTGTGAGATTTAGCAGTGCAGGTCTCTGGCAATTCCTTGGACAAATCTCTGTGTAACTCCTCAAAAGTATATTCGGCCAGATCAGATGCAGTTTTCCAGTGTTAGAGAAAGGAGACAAATTTACTGAAGATTTCCTTATCTGTGGAAATTAGACAGGCATTCACTGGCAAACGTAATGGTAAAAAATGTAAGCCTGTCATGCGTAGAGCAATCAGCTCTACTTAGTCAAGCAATTTTTTCTGCATTTGGTTGCCTTAATTAAGTTATCTGAAGTGTTTGGTAGGAGCACTTCTGGAAATCAGGCCATTTGTTTAGGCGGCTGAATAGAAATTTAATGGCCTAACTTTCAGTACTCTGGAATATTACTGATGAAGGTGTTTTTGGATGTAGGGAGCAGCTGTGGTGCCAATGAAGGCACGTGTTCAGCACCCCACGAAGGCCTGGACCATTTATCCAACTGCTGGACTACTATGACCAGGGCTCAAAATATGCCACTAATCTAAGAGTGGAGAGCTAATGATTTATTACCTATTTGCATGCTATAAATACTGCCATGCAGAGAATTTGGATTGTTAGTTAACGGTTTCTGATGTTTAACATGTAAACACTCTCCTCTTTACTCAGTAGCAGTGCTCTGTTGATCCACAAACAGCGGCGCTAAGGCAGCATACAAAAACCAATCTGGGGTTTGAAAAAAAGAGGTGTATGAGTCTTGGTCAGGATCAAGATAACTGCCTGATGCTGTCAGCCTGCAATTGCCAGTCTGCTTTGAAAATGTGGCTGCAAAAAGGAGTTGTCAGGCTTTATGTTGGTTTTGACTACTCTGAGAGGGAATAAAACCAGAATGAAAGCTGAAGTCATCCTGTTCACCCAGTGATTTTGTTTCAGGGAGCAGAGAGTCACTGGATTCATTGTTTTCATTCTGACTGGTGTGTCTGTCTTCATGGCTCCCATCCTAAAGGTAAGGACATCACCTTTTCTGCGCTTTTCTGCTCACACAGCTGAAGAAGGGCCACAGCAACTGTCAGCCTACTTTTATGCTACTAAAAAAGCTCATAATTGAAGTGTGGAAAAGGAGATTAGTGAGAATTACTGATGCGGTTGTACAATTTTATAGAAGCTTAAATACAAACCTCTTGGAAGGAAAAAATATCCTTGGATTGTGCTAGATAGTAGTAGTGACAAAGTTCAGGGCTGGTGGTCATGGGGGCTGTGGTTTCTTTCATTTTAAGATTTTTTTTCTTCCGTCTTTGCATTAAGTTAGGTTTCTTTTTATTTTGCACTCTTACACTTCTGATATGCCTGTGTTTTATAGAAAATGAATTGTGGCTAAAGCTTGAGAGCCAGCTAATGGCATGAAGAAAGGGTGATTGTCCATGCAGGAGAGTTGCTGTGTGGAAGACATGGGTTAGCAGACGGATAAGTAGTTTAAAAACTACATTTGCATTTACTTCAGTGTGCACACAACATGTATACCTGAAGAAATTCTTCGTTTGGTGTTCACCCATAGGCTGTGTGTGTGGCCCACTGTGAGGAGGCTTTTTTGATGTGATACACAGAACTGGTGGCAGTGAGCAGAGCTTACAGCTGATGCTATTAGTCCATGGGTACGGTTTTGGCCAAAAATCTTTGGGACCATTCCCACTACCATAGTAGAGCTGTACCCTGCCTGGTGCAGCTGCTAAGGCACACACCTCAGCAGTGCGAGGCTCCTGCAGCTTGCCTGGCTTTTTTTAAAAAGTCAGCACAACAATCAAATCTTCACTTTTTTAGGCTGGATCCTTCGAAAACAGTACATCCCTTATCGCTCAGAAGCGATGCCTAGCTCAGCAGTATGGAAACGTATCTCTGGAGGAAGCAGTGCCATTAAATGTGATTTCTTAATCTCCTGAATTTTTTTTCTTGTGAGTTTAGACAAGGCTCTAGACAGATGTGCTGCTGATGTACCATTTAATCTAGGCAGGTAGCTATTTTCCAAGACCTGAAATTTGTTGGCATGTAGCCACAGAGAAACGCAACCTTAGTGGATCATCAGATCACACGACGACACTGGAAAACCTGCTTATCTGTGTGGAGGATGCTGCGTTCTTCAGGGATGATGACTTCAGTGGCACCAGGTGCAGGCATACTGTACAACAAGATGTCAGCTGCAGCAGTCCATCTCCGTGGATCTGTAGACCAGTGGTACGAGCAGAAGATGTCAAAACAGCAACTTATGTACTGAAACAGTGGCACCATGCATCGTAACTCTGTGAAGCAGCAGACTGATGTCTGGAGAAGTGTTTCTGGAGGAGGTGAATGAGTTTTTGGTCACAAGGAGGTTGGAAGCCACAGGAGCCATGAGGCACAGTTAGATGTGAAGCCTGAAAGGCAGGAGGCAGGCAGAGAGCAATGATGCTGCCTGCGTATAAAGTGGAGAAGGTGGCTTTACAAAGTCCGTGTGTTCCTGTTCTTGATTTCCAAGGTTGTTTTTACAACTAGCGAATGTTTGTGTCTTGGTAACAGGCACAAACAGGCATTTCCATGCCCTTGATTTAATGCCTGATTGTAATAATTGTGTTTGTTGGTTCATATGACCTTTCCCTGCAAGATCTCTCTTCCTCTATTCCACTGGGGTCTATTATTTCCCCTGTTATTGCTTCATTCGTTAATTATTTGTCTGTGCTTCCCCTAAGAATGTGTATGGGGAAGATCCTCATGGGAGGATGCCTGAGGATAAATCGGCACGCTCCTCGCCCACGTGCCAGCGAGAAGTACCTGGCAGCGTTTCAGGACCTTTAACAAACTCCAGTGGCAGGGTCTCCTGCTCGAGAGAACTGCTTTGCTAAATGCATTGCAGAACACTGAAGTCTTCTCGTGCCAGTGGCAAATTGAACACTAACAATCCCAAATTCAATAAAACAGGCAATCCACAGAATAATCTCATCTTTGTTTTCTGTGGATTTTGCAGTGTTTGTGCTGGTTTTGAACGTCGCTGATGTTTCTGCGCAGTTATGGCAGATCTCCACAGAAACATCCTCGGCCCTGCTAGGATAATGACAGGCACTTTCCTATAAATACATTTTTAATTCTGTTGGCTAGCAGCAGGTTTGCTCGGAGTGCCTAAGCCAGCAACCCCGTAGTTAGTGAATATTTTGCCAAAAGAAGCCTTCTAAAATGAAAGCACCGCCTGCTACTCTGCAGGCTAATGTACTGAAGTTTCACCTAGGGATGATTTACAGGATTGATTATCATGGAATGGTAAAACAATACTTGGACTTTTTTCTTTTTTTTAGAAGAACAGAAATAAGTAGAAGGGGATGGAAAGAGAGCAATGTAAATGAACGAGAAAACTAAACTCTGAAAGCCTCCCACCCAATGTGCTGGAGGAGATATTATCTTGTCTCCTCGTTCTGACCCAGTAAACGATGAATCATGTGGTGGGGAATACGATAAAACATTGAGTAACTGCCCTGTTATCTGCCTCGTTAATGAGCTACATGCCCAGGTTGGAAGACAGTGCTGCAGAAGGTTGCGTGGGAGCCTTGGCTGCGCTGCTGTTTCCTTCGGCGGTGGTAGCAGAGCCCTTTCTGTCCTCCTTGGGTTCAAGGGAATCGCACAAAGGCCGTCATTCAGCCCCTGCGTGCAGTTTGTGCCCAAGCATTCCCATTCGCGTCACGCGCTGCTGGCCGTGCATGGCTTTGTCGCGGAGCCGAGGAGCATTTCCTCCTCTTGGCAGCCGCGCGGTGGCTGTTGCCATTGAGGAAGGCTCTGTGCTTCAGGTCGGAGGGACAGACACTCGTTCTGGGGAGCGAGTGTGTTGTCACCATGCGCCTTCCTCGCTTCCGAAGGTGGGTGTCCCCGATGGCAGGACCAGTGATGGAGGAATGGGCAGCTCTTAGCTCTTGAAGGAGCAGAAATTGATATTTGAAAGGACAATTCCTGGTGGTGATTAAAGTAACTCACGGTTCTGTGTTTGTGAATGGTTGTGGATTAATGTGAGCGAAAGATGGAGCGGTCAGAGGTTTGGTTGGTGTGACTGTCATTGCTGAGGTGGGACTCAAGAGAAGGTCCTTTCTGGATGGATTTCCATGGCTTGCTGAGCCGGACATACCACAGGATTATGCTGCCTTTTCTTCTTCTCTACCTCTGCTTCTAGTCCCAGCAGAAACCAAGAGGTGAAAAGCAGTTTGAAGCTTACTGGAACTTATTTACCCTGCCTCTTCTTTAATTGCTGGCTGCCCAGCACTGGATGACTTCGTTTACTTCGGTTCTTGGAAAGACGTCGAAGTCCCAGTGAAGTGGGAGAGCCCAGGGCTCGTTCAGCCCCTGCCCTGCTCCTCAGCCCTCCAGTGGTGGCACAAATGTTCTTGAGGCTCTCAAAACACAGCAGAAGGATTGCTCACTTTATTACTCCACATTGTCCACTTGTAGGTGCAATTGGAGTTGATAGCAGTCTAGGAAATATGTCCCTCCATGTGTTAACGGTGCATTGGTTGTGAGGAGGTTGTTCACTCAGTTTCTCCTGCTCTTCCCCCTGCAGTTCATTCCCATGCCTGTGCTCTATGGCGTCTTCCTCTACATGGGTGTTGCTTCCCTCAATGGCGTGCAGGTGAGTCCCTCCAACGGCTGGGAGCAGACTCCCTTCTGGCCTTCTCCAGAGGATGGCAATCATTAACCACTGTGAGGGGTTTCTTTCACAACCCCCCGGCCTTTCCCTGCTCCTTCACCACCTCCTTTTCCTTCCCAAGAAACCTGGGGAGCGTAGCAACTGTTTACAAACGTTGCCGCGGGCTGGCTGTCCTGAGATTGAGACCAAAGGGGAGTGGGAGGGCAGCCAGGGCTGGGCCCTCTAAGCGATGGGGGGTGCTTTATGAAAACCTGGGGTCCATGTGCCCCTTGCCCAGCTCAGCAATGCTGATGGCAGTGTACACTTGCAGAGGCCCCAGGCTCCCTTCTGGGATTGTTCGGGTCCTCTGCCTCTGTCGTGGACTGAAGGGAAACAAGAGAAGATGATTTATGGCAGCGGGGTTATTCTGCAGTGTTAACGAGCGGGAACATTGCTGTTTGCTGGGGAGTGGAAGCCAAGCCCCTTGCTTTGTTGTTGAGGAAATATTATGTAAGGAGCCTTTCTCACAGCGCAGCGTCTGTAGTTGGCCCTAGGAAGCTGGAATTGGTTTTGTTGCTTTCTGGCACCCTATTAATTGTGGCCTTTCTTTTTAGTGTTTGGTTGTGCTCTAACGGGAAAAGACTGCCTGTTCTGTGAGCACCATGAGAATTTCCTTGGGTATTCTTTAAAATGGCCCCAGCTTTCATTCACTGGTGTGAGATCAATGTGGTCTCAGCAAGCGGGCAGCAAGCCTGCATTCAGGCAGGGACAAGGAGGGGGTTGTAGTGTTCGCCCTGGGGCTGGTTCTTCTAGAGGGGATTTCCCCTGTTTCCTGGCCCAGGTGGTGAGGGAACTGGGCAGTTTGTTTGCCCCTGATCAAGGATGTTTTTCACTGGATGAGAAACCCCAGTTTTGGTTTGACTCCAAGTCCATGCAGTCCAGCATGGGGCAAGGGACACTGCCGGAAAAGCTGCCCGTCTTACTCACACTTCGGTTAGGTGCCTTTCTGTTCTTTGGCAACGTGATGTCTGCCCTCACCTCTGCTGACCGCTGCTCCTGATTTATTTGGAAGAAAAGCGTTGGTTTTAAATACTGAATGTCTTCCCTTGGCAGAAGCAAGGCAGGGGAGGGTGGCAGAAGCAATGCAGAGTCTGATGCTGACCATAGTTTGGGCATTCATCGCGTTTTCTCTGTTTTGTGGGTAATGAAGTGCTCCCTTGAAGAGAAAACCCCTTGTCCACAGCCACAGCAGATCAGGCCCATTCTTTTGAAGCCAGCAGAGCAATTTCCACTGACACCTTCATTCCTTGGTTTACGCACTGATCACCAGAGCACATGGAGTCCTGCTCCTTAAAATAACGGCACCTCAGAGCCTAGCTTTGAGATGCTTCGCTCCTGTGTCTCTGTTCAGTTGCCAAATATAGCGTAGACCTAGGACCTTCGCTTGAGACAACAGAGGTAAAATGTTTAGCCTACCCTGCTCTAAGCACAAGTCAGTCAGGATAGAGGAGCTGTGCTGAGTTTTCTACTGGGTTTCTTTTATGGAAGGAAAGCAAGTTGATTCAAGGTCACACTTCATAGTGGAATAAAGCTTTTGCATCTCTTTTTTGTGTATCCTGGGTTTCATTTAAATATCTGTTTCTTTTCCTTTCCAGTTCATGGATCGTCTGAAGCTGCTCTTGATGCCTCTAAAACACCAGCCTGACTTTATTTACCTGCGCCATGTCCCGCTGCGCAGGGTCCATCTGTTCACCTTCCTGCAGGTGGTGTGCCTGGCCCTCCTCTGGATCCTTAAGTCGACCGTGGCTGCTATCATATTCCCTGTCATGGTAGGTGATGTTCTGCTTCACATTCCTCCCTTTTGCAGGCTGCACCTTCCATGCAAGGTCATACCCTCCCATAAACAGGCAAATCCAACCTCTCCCTGTGAAATCCCTAGCTCAGGGCTCTGCCTTGCGGCACTGATGTAAGACTGCTCGGGTCAATGTTGCCGTGGCTGCCTTTACATGAATCCTCTTGTGGAAAACAAGCCTGGAAAGTTAATTTTTATCCAGAAAGGTGTAGTTAGTTTTGACCATTCCTGTCTGTGAAGGTTAAATTTGACGTGTTTTCTCCTTGAGGTGCATGAGTGAACGAGAGGTGCATAGTTTTCCTTTCTCAGTCCACACTAATTACCACACAGAAAATGTCTCTCTTGCTTTTAAATAGCACAAATTGACAAAACCAAGAATGAGGCTCACTGCTAAGAGGTGTGCCAAATAGAGGAAAAGGTTTAGCTAATTCAAGAGCAAAAAAAAGAATGTCTTCTTCCTTGAACTTGAGTAAAAACACAATCATGTTGATTCATGTGTTTCATATCGGAGGAGGATATGTAAGTTTGTAGGATGCATGCCCTCTTTCTAATAATGCATATCAGAATCATGTTAAAACTTATTTTGGTTGTCGAGAGATAAAATGTTCATCACACAGAAGAACTGTTTCTTAAGCATGCATTGTGCAGTCAGTCTGATACAGTATTTCTACTTCAAAGAAGGGGAGTAGTGACACAGCTTTCTGCGCGTTTAGATTATTGCTAGAGCTATAGACACAGTTAGGCACATATACCAAATAAAAGACAAATAAGTGTTAAGGGGAGTTTATAGGTACACTTTGCCCAGGCATCAAAACCTGTGACCGTGGATCCTAAATGAGGGAGCACGAAGTAGATCCTTCTCCACCTCTGTGCATGACCTGTAGCTCAGCTGGAACAGTTGTCAGAAAGGTGGCCACAGGGCCAAATGGGTTGAGTGTGGATCCAGTGGGACCACAGCTGCACACACAGAGATTCTGCAGAGTCTGGTCTCTGGCTTGGAGATGGGTCAGACTGCTGCAAAGTCAAAGCTTTATGAAACTCCTTTAAGAAATCTGGGCCCAATGTCACCTAGTTCCAGATTTACAGACAAGTAAAATTTCAGTCGTGGGTGGGCACAGTTATGAACTGCAATGCTTATTTAAGAAAGAGAAGGAGGGAAAGCAGAAAACAGAACACAGACAAGCACTTGTTCTCTGATGCTGGTGAAATGAGAAAAGATGATGCAAGTAAAAAAATCCTCCAGATATTCTTGCCGGGACACATGTGCATATATAAAGGTGTTAGAAATCAGCGTTTCCCACTGACACGTTGTTCCATTGCATTTTCATGGCTGTGTTGTACTGCTGTTGAAAGCTGAATCTAAGATCTGGACACTCTTTGCCCATGAGAAAATCTGAGTGAACCCTAAATCTGCTTAAGTTTGTTATAATAGTGCAAACTCCACAGAAGTACAGTCACAGCTTAGATGTAGCTAGATTCGATGACAACACCTCAGTTCTTTGCACTCAGGAACAAAAAGACTGTAAACTTCCAATTTGTGAAGATCCTGCCAGTAGCCGAACCTGTGTTTATTTGAAGGAAAAGCGTTTGTAATACAGAAGTAATTCATAATGGGATCTTCATGGGTGTCTACATGGCATCTTTCCAGTAATTTCTCGCTTCTGGAATCGTGTCTTGAGTTATGCAAGTCAAAACTTAAGATCCGTTCCGAGGAATTGTTTATGCCATTGATCATCATTGCTCAGAAGAAACTCTTCATCTTGAAGATAGTCTTCAGTTGTCTGGAATGGATTATATCTTTTAGTAGCCAAGTCGAGCTTTCAGTCTATCGGTGTGCCCTTTGGTAAAGCGTACACGTGATCTTCATAGGCATCTGGTGGTGGTGTTAAATGCAGCATTGATGTAAACACCCATTTCAGACACATCCCTGCTTTTTTTCCCCAGTGCCTTTGATTGCAGTCTTGCACAGAAAAAGCTTTTCCTCCAGTTTCATGCAGCCACAATCCTGGTAAACTTTATTCTGCAAACTCTAAGGGCACAGTTTGGCCCTTTTCTAATTTCTAAAGAATTCTTACATCTGGTGAAGTGGTAAGAAAAAAGTGAAGACAGTTACTCAGGCTGCCCTTGTCAACCTGCATATGTAGGCTGAATCCAAAAATAAATGAAAATACTAATTTTTTGCCTCTTTAGTTTGTTATTTTGCCTGATGCCTGTCAGTTGGATGTTAAAGATGACCCTTGTTTCTACAGCAGTATTAAGTGATTACATACCGTTTTCTGTACGTTGCTCCTGTTTATTCTGACGTGAAGCAGTCACAGTTCAGACTTTCAAATTGATAGAGATATTGCAGGTGTTCACCTTGTTCTGTGTATGTTCATTTACAAACAGAATTAAAGTGTGTGGGATTAAGAAGCAGCATCAAGAGGAATGCACACAGTGTTCCCAATTGAAGGTAAAATGTGACCGAGAAATCCTTCTCTGCCTTTGCAGATCTTGGCACTTGTAGCAGTCAGGAAAGCCATGGACTACCTCTTCTCCCAACATGACTTAAGTTTTCTTGACGACGTCATTCCAGAAAAGGACAAGAAAAAGAAAGAGGACGAGAAGAAGAAGAAAAAGAAGAAGGGCAGTGTGGACAGTGACAATGATGATGTAAGGAGCTTTCTGCTCATGTCAAATTACTCATTTCTAGCTAGCTAATCCCAGGGGATGGTCCATGCTCCTCCCCAGCTCTGGGGCTGGGGATTTTCCAGCCTCTTTTGAAGCCAGACAGCTCAGTCTTTTGCTGCTGCAGCAAATCGACCCCAAACAAAACTTCCTGTCTACATTGCCTTCACTTTTCCAGATGTCACCAGCCTTGTGGTGGGTGGTACTTGCACTTCCACAAGAGCACTAGATCCCTGCCGAGATATCATGCCCTTTACTAGAATGCCTTTCATCACCCTGCCTTGTTCATTTTTCCCTCCTCCACCTTTCTCCCCTGTCACTGACTTTTACATTTTAGGAGGAGAATGGTTTTCACCAGCAGCTCTGTTACTTCTGAATGTATTCTGGTTTTCTTTTTTCATATTTTTATAATTGCTCTTTTTAAAAGCACAAAAAGATGTGACTTGTCGTATTGCAGGAAAGGCTGCTTTCTGTTGATAATGCTCATGACTTAAACGTTCTCAAAGCATACATGCACTTCTGCAGTGTACTCTTTGGTCCTACCTCGGGTTGCAGCATGCCCTAAAATAGTGAAACATAGCTGCTTATGTCATTACTAAGTGCAGTGACCTGACTAGACCAGATCCACGTGCCTTAGACTGTTCTATTTTTTACTGTATATGTAATAAGAAGAAATGTAGTCCTCGTGCCTTTAAACATTCTCCTACCCAGATCTAGCATGAACTCAAATCCTATAAATTTGTACTGAAGTGCTAAACACACTGATAATATAGCGCTTCGTATTGCAAGTGTGAACTGCCTTTGAAGAGCTGGCTGCCTCGGTCAGCGTTACCTTTTGCAATGTGAAATGGGAGCTAGGCTTTAGTAATTTGAGGCTACATGGAGAGTACTAAGCACAGTGTCGCTAGTTCTGCTCATGTCACCATCCAGGGCTTTTCCTATGATGTAGGCAGAGGTAAGATCACCCAAAGCTGGAGAAAAGTCCCATTTTAACACAGCAGAAGAAACAAATGAGAAGGGGTCGCACTCTGGGAGGAGGCAGGCAGCAGGTAAAGTCAGCTGGCACTTTGTCAAGCCCTCCTGCCCAGGTCGTCAACCCGCAGCCCCCAGGTTTGGACTGCAGCCTGGTGTGGTATGGCAGAGCGGCAACGGCACCAGTTGTTGGTCTGCGTGCTCACTGGCCTCCTCAGTTGTTATGAAGCAGGTAATGGCAACCTCCCCAAGAAGCAGTTCAGTGGGGTTAGTGTGTCTGCCAGGAGAGCTGCTTGCAGCAAAGCCTGATGGTGGCACTACAGTCACCGAAGAAGAGGGTCGTGGGTGCTGTGGGGTTGTTGAGCCTCGCTGTGTGTTTGGAGGGTTTCTGCTGGGTATTGTCTGCATCCTTTCTGCAAGCAGATCTACTGAATCAGCCCTCCTTGTGGGTTAGATAACACATCTGGTGTCCTCAGTGGGAAAATGGCAGCTCCAGGAGTTTCCCCAGACCATCTTGCTCAAGGTTGGGAGGACAGAAAAGGCAACCTCAGTCCTGGTGGAGGACAAGCTAGAACCCGAGTCCTATATGTGACAGCTATATAACACCTCTGCAGATCTGTGCTAGAGGCAACAAAGTCAGGCTGTTCTGATGAGAAAATACGCAAAGGCCTTTCTATAAAGAATACATGCTGTCTAAAATAAAGCATGTACACTGCAAGAGACAAAACTAGGAATTTCTTAGGTGAGGGTGCAGCGTTGTAGGAGATGGCCTGGCTGCACGCCTTGTTCAATCAAGCTGAAGCCCAGCTGGGAGGATTGGCTCTTATTTCAGACAGCAAGCTCCCATTTCCCATCATTTCTCCAGGAACTGTGAGGCCGAGGGCAAGGATTTCCTTCAACAGGTAATTTTGTGCAAACTAAAATTAGAGGAAACACCCTACTGTACGTAGTGAATAGTCAGCAGAGGTTTGACTCCATCCCCTCCTCTTGACTGATTTGAATCCAGCAGCATCGTATCCTGAGCCGTGGCTCCTGTATCTCCGGTATGCTTTAAGCTATCTTCTCTCTTCTCAGGCTTTTCATGAATTTCAGGTACAGTAATTGATCTAATGAGTAAGAGAATTTATGCAATATGTTGGTGATTAACTGTTCTTGGGTTTTTTTTTTCAGCACTTGCTTTTACCAGCTTCCTGAATGTAAAGCACTTGGCATTATTGGTTTCATTATTTTCACCCTTGCCCTTCCAGAAGTGTGTCCCAACAAAGTTAGTCCTGTGGGATATGGCAGGCAATACACTGATGAGAGTTCAGCAAAGGGAATGGCTGGGCGTTACTAATGCAAGTTGTGTTGGGTGAATGAGTACGGCAAAAATGGGCATTAGTGGAGACTGCTCGCAGCACTAGTTAGCACTTGCCTAAAGTTCTCACGGGGGGCTTGACAGCAATCAGGGGCAGCAAAATAGGAGCTGCAAAGAAAGATTTTCAGTAATCTCACCATTTTTCCCTCCTGCCTGTCTTTACAACATATGAATTAGTGCAACTAATTGCTGCGTTTTCCCAAGGAAAACTCAAGCACCTTGGTTTTCTCTCCAATTTTATGTCAAAAAATGCATGATCCAAGAAAGGCCTGACAATTGAAAAAAAAAAAATCTTGGGCTACTATATTTAGTTTCAGAGACAGAAGTGCTGTGTAATGGACTCTTCTCCCCTTAGGACATTTTTGCCAACTGCGGATACTTGCTCTGTCTCTCTGTTCATTGTAGATCGTGAAGTTTAAAGCAGACCCTGAGCATCAGCACTGCTGTTCCACAGACCTCTCACATTTATTCATTAGCACTGAAATGGTGATATGTCGGAAAGGTTCTCCAGCTCTTATGTTCTGCTTGCAGCATGGCCCCAAACAGATGGGGATCTGGGGATGGCTTTACTGCCTCAGTGCTTTTCTGCGGAAGCATCTTTAGTTGAGCTATGCTTATCCCTCAGCCTCGTAAAAATACTCCTGAGGAAACATTTTGCTATTGGAGTTTGAAATACTGCACTGGATGTCAGTTATCCTAAAAAATAATTTAAAAAAAAAGAGATCCAGGGAGAGCGATTCTCTGGCCTCTGTAATGTTTTTCTGCTCGGTGCTGTGTCTAGTTCTTTCCAGGAACAAAGCTGTGTTAATGTTTCTGGTAAATATCACCTTACTTCCTTTGCCAAGTTATGCAATATCAGCCTTTCCTTGGTTATGAGAAGTTACTTTTATTTTGAAAAAGCAAAATATTTCCAAGTACCTTCCGCTAAGAATAAGCAGGTGAATTATTGAAGGTGGTGGGGTGTAAATCATACTGGTACCCAAACTACAGGGGACCCAGTGTATGGCTTTTCTCTGCACTTGTGCCTCTTTACTGGTTTGCTGTTTCTCCTGTCTGGCTGGGAGAAAGGAATTCTTACAAGGGCCCTGGATTTTTTTTATTTTTTATTTTACTGTACATAGAGGTGTATGTGAGACTGGATTAGACTCGACGTACATAAAAGGGTGAGTTGAGACAGTCCAGCTTAAGAAACCTCTGCCATATGATGTCTGGCCCTCGTCCTCATCGAGCAATGGGGAAGAAAAAAGAGTTTTTGCAGAAATCACAGCAGGATAAAATGTGATGAGCTTTCACAGAAGCCAGTGCCCTGCTATTTCTGCCTACAAATGCATTTTCCATCCGTATTCCCTACAGCCAGCTCCAAGCTGAATTGGATGGTGTCTTACAAGCCAGTGGCAAAGGAGCTGGTGAGGTGGGGAAAGCGGACAATAACAATTACACAAGATCATTTTTTCAATCTGTTTTACTTTCGTAGTGTGAATGAAGAGGGAAAGTGGGGTGCAGTGGGGAACCGGTGGAAACCAACAGGCAACTAGGCTGGATGATGCTTTTTTATTTTTTCTTCTCCTCATTCCTACAGAAACTGTATGAAGGATAATTTTGATTTGTGGGAGACGATAAGAGAGAGAGCAGTGAAAATATTCTAAGACCTTTTACACGTTTCTTTCACAGTCTGACTGCCCCTACTCAGAAAAAGTCCCAAGTATTAAAATACCAATGGACATCATGGAGCAGGAACCTTTCCTAAGTGATAGCAAACCTGCTGACAGTGAGTAGAACTAACCTCTTGCATGCCTGCTTGACTCTGACTTGCAGTACAAAAATATATATCTATATTTAGAGTGATTATTTTTTTCTAAAAAAAGAACAACTTTCCTATTACTTGAGAAGTACTTTTTCTTGTTCTTTTTCTTCTTTTTTAATTTTCAGGCCTCTGATTTGTGACAGATTTTGGTTCTGTGAGCTTTTTTCTTTGCTCGTTACAAAACTGATGTTGTTCCTTCTGGTGCCTCCAGCTTAAGCACTTTTATCCAGCTACTAACAGATCTCTTGGCCACTCACTCTCTCCTCCTCTCCTTTCTGACCTCCCCTGTTTTGTGTTAACTCTGCTGATGGTTTGATTTATTTTTTTCCTCTGAGCTTAGTGTTCTGGATTTGCAGCGTGTCTAAATTGCATCGCTGTCCCATTATTGTTTGTTTCCTTAGGTGCCAAGCAGTTGCAAAAATCAGCACTTATAAGAGTAATTAAGCATGTCAATGATCCACATAGTGCATTAAACTGACAAGGCAGCGATCAGTTGACCGTTAACATATTTCCCTTCTTAGGTGATTTGCTTTTGTGCTGTTCTGTTTCTTTTTAATTCTTACATTAATATCCGTAATTGATTGTTATGATCTTCATTTTCAGCCATTTTCACTTTTCATGTTATAGTCTTTTAAGTGAGGATTTGGGAATAACAACTGACCTTAGCTTTTTTGCCTTTGCGCTGACTTTTTAAAATACTATGAGCAGTGGGTGCCATCTGGAGATAGATACGCTGTTTTGTCATGAGACGGGAGGGGAGGAATGCAAATGGTAGTAATAAATCAGTACTGCTGCAGTGCTGCTGGTAAGATTTCTAGGAGTGAGACCTAAAACCACAGATCTTTAGATCCTTAAACTAACATTTAAGAGCTGGTACCCAAGTCCCTTGCCTTTTGGTGGCATTTAGATACCTTGGGCAATCCTAAGCATTGCTCTGTGCTTTTTAGATACAGGAACTCTTAGAGATTGGCATTATAAAACAAAGCCGAAGAGAAAGAGATGTTTCCCTGACCATTTAGATATTCTCAGTGTTTTGCTGATAAAGAAAAGGAGTGAAATCAGCCTCAGACAACCAAACCGATCCTCCTCGTTTTTCTGTGAAAATGCCCTGATGTGCTAAAAACAAATTGCATCCGAAATGTTGTTACACAGGATTTTATGATCAGATGCACTGTTTTCAACATCTTTGAGACTGAAACATTTAAGAAGTTAATTCTGCCGCAGACCTGCTTACTGGAATGCTCTTTGAGACAACACAGGGTTCATCACCCGTGAGCCAAGCAGTAGTTGTTTGGCGCATTTTAACATTTTTATAATCCAGTAATTGATTTCTGTTTTTTAATTAGAAACAACACTGGAAAAAAAAAACAAACTTAAAAATCAGGCCCTTGGAGTAGAAAAAGTAGCTGGAATCCAGCAACACTGTGGTGTTGTCCTTGAATATAACTGTGCTCTGCGATTCAAAGTATATTGTGAATAATACTACTAACATCAGCTTTCCTTCAGCAATAACAAGAATAGGATTATTATTAACAGGGAGTACACTTCCCCATGCTGAGTCAAGAAAGGAAAGCCATTCCAGGCACAAGCCACCTATTTTCTCACAGGGAGTTTGGGTGCGACAGTGAGGAGCACAGGGTAACTAAAGATGTGTAGATAAAAGGTAAGTGTCAAGATCTAAAGGTGATGAAAGTCTTGGGAAATGAGTCTTTTGGTCATGTTGGCACTTGAAGGGTTTTTATCTTGGAGGAGAGAGAGAAATTGAGTATTTTGATTTACAAGCTGTGAAATTCGTCTGGGCAGTCAGCAGTAAAAAAGCATTGCCAGATAGATGAGAGTATAGTGGAGAAACTGAGGCTGGGCTTGAGAAGCCATCAATGCTGTCGGCCATGCCAAACAAGGTTTCTTCCCTCCCCAACAGGAGAAAAATCACCAACATTCCTTGAACGCCATACGTCGTGCTGATACAATTCCTTTCCTTCAGTCACACACCATGCCAAGGTAAGCACCCAAAAAATGCACTTTATAATGATTCCTCAAAAGCATCTCAGCTACCTCTCAGTATACCAAAGTCAACGAGGCAAAGTTTCTGTCCCACTGTAGGAAACTCTTGGAAAGCACTTTGAGAAAATTCCATACATGGGGTTGCAGCATCCCAAGCTGATGACCAACGCGGCCTTCCAGTGCCTGGGATGGGGAGCGGAGAGCCTGCGGGAGGCCGGGGGGCTCCACCGGCCTTGGTTAGACCCCATCTGCAGTACCAGTGGATAGTTTGGGGTTTAAACCAGAACAAAGATGCAGAGCAACTGGGAGGAGTCTAGAAAACATGTCTACAGGGGAAAAATTAAATTAACTGGGATTGTTTAGCCTTTAAAAAAAAAAGACAATGCCAGAAAATTGCTGTTATACTTACCTTCAGTCATGAAACAGGATGTTGCAAGGAGGAAGTAATCCATTTTCCCATGTCTGTGGTGGAAAATCGAGTGAATAATAACCTCAAATTGCAGCAAGGAAGAGTTAAGCAACAATTTGTTAGAGCTCAGCCACGGCTCAGCTGCTTGGGGCCACCTTGGACCTCCCAGCGCCAGGACTCTAGACCAGGGCAGCAGTAATCCTCTGACATATCAAAGAAGTATCCAGACTTCCAGGTATCAGAGAGTGTGTGAAGTGAATCTCAGATTATATTAAAGGCAGTTTATGAGTATTGCCACAGCTTGGTGTGAAGCACAGGTGCTGGATGCTTGGAGCTCCTCAGTCAATGAGATTGGTGGTTTTACCTCCTGACACGAGCAGTGTTTAGACCAACTTATTATCTTATGTGATGTACGGGCCCTATCTTGAGACCAGCTGTATATCACCACTGCCTGTCAAGGTTATTTATCTGGTATCTTGTATGCTGCCGGTTTCAGAAAGCTGTATTGTATGAGCTAATGCAAGGAACCGATACTGGGAGTCGAGCATTTGTTCCATTTCTGGATGTGACACTGTCTGTTGGGCGTCCCAGGATCGTCAGTTTTCTCAGTTTATGCCGGTTGCCCCTCTGTTTTGTTTGTAAGATGCCAGTTTTCTCTTGCAAGTTATAGATACCTGGGTTTTGTTTTCAGGATTTGGCCACTGGGAAGCTGTGCTAGCAGAAGTCCTGAGCACGGCAGACCACGTTAAGAGTGGCTGAGAAGCCTGGAGGTAGTCCCCACACTTACCTTGTCTTTCTTTTTCTTTGCAGCCCTCCACGAACTCCAGTAAAAGTTGTGCCTCAAATTAGAATAGAACTTGAGCCTGAAGACAATGGTTATTTCTGGAGGAGCAAGGGAACAGAAACTACTCTGTAATTTGTCTGTCTGTTAAATCTATTATGCTAGCCAAATATCAAAATGGTCTCTGCTCCCCACCTGCATAGGTAAATGAGACATCCCGTGCCCCTGCAGATCTCCTCTGATCCCTCCTCACCCGATTTTCCTTCCCACGCTGACCAAGACTCGTTTTGCCTTCTCTGTCGCTTCGACACGCACGCGTCTCTCTCATTTGCAAGCAGAGGGCAGAAGTATTAAGGATATCGTACCGTACCTGTGGGAGATGTCAGAGGAACTGGCATCACTTTAGTTGTGAATCAGTGTTTGTTTGTTTGTCCTTTTGTCGTCTGGCAGAACAAAACTGACCTCCAGGTTAATTCAATGTCTTGCTTACACTGCTCGAAGATGCTGGAAAGTGCTGCTAATACTAACTTGCTCTTAAAGCCTGTGCTTGTAGTTAACACAGGAAGGAAAAGGAAAAGGTACTTCACTCCCAGCACAGACAAACCATTGCCATCGTTGTAGCATGTGTTTTGAAATGTCCCTTTCCTATGCAATTTTTTTTAAAGAAACACTTTAATGGACTTAATCTGTCAGGTACATTGAAGAGTGTTATTTTCCTAGATTATTTTGTTTAAATTATGGGGGCCTAACCTACGACTTTTTTTTGTCAATTTTTTTAACCTTTTTTTAATTACTGTAAAGAAAAATGAATTTTTCCTGCAGCAGGAAACATATAGTTATGAGTAGTTCTACCTCTTATTTCTAGATGCCAGGCTTTCTGTAAAAAATGTGTTGTACCATATATGATGTGATTTTTACAAAAAAAAACAAAAACAAAAAACAAAACCACAACACCACACCACAATCTCCAGGACATGACATAGGGCTGGATCAGTGTGTTTAACACCTTCTACTCTGAAGCATCTGTTTTACTTAGGGTTATGTTGTTTTGTTTGGTTTTTTTTTTCGCAAGTAATCTAATTTCACTATGAAGGAGAGGGGATGTAACTTAAATCTCTTGTGATCTAGGAAGAGTCTTAAATGTTAACGGTGGTAAGCGAAGTACAGACGGCCACCGACGTCAGTGGACAGATGCTGATTGTATTCCTGTTGTTGATTTCCCGCGCGGTGTTGTTCGAATTATTTTTTTGGAAATATCAGTGTGTGCGCATGTGTCTGTGTGTCCACGAGAAGACCCCGGGTGCACTTCAGGCACGATGATGGCACGGCGGAGGAGAAGGATGGCTGGAGATGACCTACTGGGATGTTCATCCTGACGCTTGTGTTCGCCAGGCTCCCCACCATCTGCGTCCTCTAGCATCCCACATCTGCTTGCCGTCAGCTACAAAATTCACCCTAAATCTTGACTGCTTGATCCTAGACCCATCCACCCATCCACAGTGATGCGTCAATACCAAGCAGGCCAGGCATGGGAACACCCAGGCTTTTGATGTCAAACCAAGCGAGCAAATAGCACCTTGGGAGAGATGATTTTCTCTCTGCAGCATGTGTGTGCGTGTACTCATGTGTGCATGTAAACATGCATTTGGGAAACTGGGCTTCACCAAGACACTTCTGTGATGAAACTTGAGGACTACGTGTAACACGCTAAAAGCTTCATCAAAAAAAAAAAAAAAAAAAAAAACAAAAAAAACAAAGAAAAAATAGCCCAGCTATAAGGCCTAATTCCCCAGTGGAGAAAAATCCTGTTGCAGAGGACAGGCACGTTGCTGCTGCTTTTGTCCTTGTGAAACCAAAGTCCGTGTTGGTTAAGTAAACAGAATTTCGTGATGGTGCTGTGACCTATTCTGCCAAATTTTAGCATCTACTCACTCATAGTAGCCATATCGGCAACGGGAGGTGCAGAATACGGCTGCTCTTTTCCTCCCCAGATGTGCTGTAGAAGCAGCTGGCCACCTTACTTTCCCTAAAGCGCTTTGGTTAAAGGATGAGGTGATTTGGACCGTGATAGTTTGAGCTTGTTCTGCTGCAGACGGTCATTGCTGCGGGAAGACGACGGAGCTGCAGAGGCGCCTACACAGCACGCAGCGTGTGTGCACGCCTCCGTGCGTTCCCCTGTTTGTTATCGGGGGGTCTCAGTTTCGGCTTCCGTAAGACGCGTATTGACTCTCGGATCAGCATCCTGGGGAACCCATCCCAAACCTGCTTTGGAAGGGCTGGGGAGATGTCGGAAATGGCCAGAAAAGGAGAGGCTCTGTGATTCCTTCCGCTGCCGGGCCCCACTAGCCAGAGGACAGATCGCCTGGGACGTGCGATGCCGGCTGCAGCCCACGGTTTCCATCACCCGGTGAATACAAGCGCCTGGCTCCCGAAGGGGAAACAGACTCGAGCATCACCTGCAGCGTACCAGGGAGCTTGTTGTGTTTTGCCCAGACATTTGACTTGTAAGGATCCCAGTAACTGACGGAGGAAGGGTCAGACCCGAAGAAAGGAGAGAAGCGGCTTTCCTGCTCCCGGTAGGCTCGGCGGGCAGGGCACTGCACCCATGCACACATCCCCCACGCGCATCCCCATCTCTGTCTGCTGGCACCTGGTGATGTGTCTCCACAAAAATGAGGTCTTCCACTTTCAAACCATTTTAAATGTACTTGAAATGTGTTGACTGCTGATCTAGATCTTTCTCTCTCTTTTTTTTTTTTTTTTTTTTTTTTTTCTTTTAACCTGAGGGAGCTGTTGTACAGAGGGTAGCATTGCTGAAGGGACGGGACAAAGGTTTCTGTAGCTTTCCGTGAAAAATACGGAAGTCTGGTGACAGGAGCTGGAACTGTTTCTTTTCCTGGTGCCTGACACTAGCACTTCATTGGTGGTTGTGTCTCTTTTGTTGGTTTTTCCTTTAAAAAAGAAAATCCAATGCAAAGAGAGCAACTGAGAGCTCTGCTGGTGGGCAGGGAAAAGAGCCTGCAGGCATCACAAGGGACGTTTCATTGCACTTCACAGACCTTGGAAAAGAAAACTTCTTTTCAATCAGAATTGGGTATTTTGTGGGAAAAGCCTGGGTGAGCACTTCTGGGAATAGAAGAGACTGACCCAAATTCTCTGAAATCAGAGAAATGAACTCCCCAGTGCAAAGCAAAGCCAGGTCTCGCCTCGTGGTGGGACCCCGTGGCAGCCGCCCAGCTCCAGCCAGCTTTGTCCCGGTCCCGGGAGTGTGGTAGCCGTCTGCCTCTGTAGCCCAGGCTTATTTGTCATCATGGCCGATACATCTTTGTGGTGTTTTTTTTTTTTTTTGGAATCAACACGCACTTTCAGATACTTTTATTATTGTTTTTAATTCTCATAAGTCTGTATTTGCTTTGGAGGAAAGAATAAAAACTTCGTATAAAATGAAATGTATCAAGATGGTGGAACAAAAAGGAAAAAAAGCAGAAAACATTTCAATATATTAAAATGATTTTTTTTCCAGTAATATAAAACATGAAATTCCTTATAACATTATAGTATTTTACAGTTTTATGAAGCTTTCTATTGTGACTTTTATGGAATCAAAAGATGAAGATGATGAGATATTTTAGCATTTATATTTTTCAAAATTAAATGTATACTGAAAATAAAGTAACTTTATGCATTTATTGGAGAGTTTGTGTGTTTGTTTTTCCTTGTTATATATTCAGACTTGTGTGACTGAATCAAGGTCCCCGTGTCGCTGTTGTCGTGACCACCATTTCCGAGGGAAGATGCTCGGCAGCTCTTGGGAGGGAGGGGATGCTCAGGAAAGACCCCACGGATACGTGATAACGACGCGTGGGTGTGCGGCCTGTGGGGAGCAGGCATGGGGTGCCCCGGCCGTCCCGCTGCGGGGTCTGCCTGGGTCCATGCTGCTGACCTGCCCCGGCGTGGGCAGCCCTGGGGTGGGCAGCCACGGGGGCGATCGAAGCCGGAGGAGATGTTTGCCGAGGACCAGCGTGGTGAAGCCGTCCTGTGCGGCTCAGGCACGCGAGCGCTTGGCTCCGTCGCGGTGTTACCTTGCCCCGTCGTTTGGTGGGCACCAGGAGCCGGGGCTTCGGGTGATGCCCCTCGCCCTGGGGAGCAGCCGTGGGGCTGGATCCCGAGGGTAGCCAGGAGGCCCTGGAGCGACATGACATCTCCCTGCCGCCTGCGGACAGGGAAGGGTGAGCCCAGCGTGGCCTGGGCTTCTCTGAGAAACCTCTGGTTTCTGGGCTGAAAATTGCCATGACCAAACTTTGCTTTTTGCACTCATTGTTCCTTGGCCAGGAATAACCAACCATTGGTGAGGACGCAGGACTGGGGAACAGCAACCATCAACACCTCTCTGGCTCCACCAGTGTTAAGAGCGGCCATCCCAGTGGCAAAGAATTGTAACAAGGCATCAACTCCTCCAGAAACCCCGTCCCTTCCTGCCACGGGAGGAGGTGTGGTCATTAAAACACTTGTATGGGTATTTAGAGCTAACTTTTTAGTAAGGAATACGGGTGGTATCTTGATGTAGTGGCAGTGCTGGACCAAGCTGCAGGTCCCCAGAGCCTTCTCCCCTTGGCTGCTGCTCTCCCGTACCTGACCTGGCAGGCTTGGTTTAGGTAGCACCAAGCTCTGTGCTTGGTGGGACTAAAAGCCATACATTGTCCAGCATTTCTCCCATTTTGTCAGCATGGAAAGTGTTTTGTGGTGTTTTGGGACTCTGCTATGTTTTGGGCAGCTACTTCTGCACCACCGTACCAGGATTATCCCCTGGGGAAGTAAATTACTTATACCTTGCAGCTGCTGAAAGCCCTGGGTGTGAGCTGGGCAAGGTGAGCATCACCTGGGAGCTGGTCCCCTCCCTTATAAATTGCTGTTTATCTCCTGCTAGCTGGCTAGAAACCTTTGCAAAGTCTGTCTTGTGGGGGTTTGGGGTATCAAGCCAAGAGGAAAACACTGTTCCTTTTAGGAAAGTGCTCTAGGCAGTACAAAAGAAAGATAAAATTAAAAGGAGGTATGGCCCTGTTTACTTGCTGGGTTTTTTGTGTGGTTGAAGTCAATGGCAGGGATGCTGCTGGCCCAACAGAGTGAACGCTGGC